CTAGGCGTGGCTATTGTCTAGTATTTAAACTGATTCTCCAGGGTAGTGAGTGGGTTTTACCGAGTCCACTATTGTTATTAGTCATCAATAATCAATCAGCCACTACATTTAGAATTTCTCTGTGAATATATCAATTGATTTGTAGAATTACTAAGATAATCTTGGTGAAATTTAGTGCTGTTTCTGCTCAGCCCTTCCAGTCTGAAGGAAAATGAGCTAAACATCGGTATATTTGACCGTGTTCTATCTCATATTACTGGTGTTATTAGTGTTCTTCCAACATAAACATCCATATCATAGCCTGTCATCAAAAACACACTGCTAATAACATAATTTAGATAAAACCATTAGAGCAAACTGTTGTTTGCACTGATAGATGACACGACCCAAGGCAGCTGAACAAATCAAAAATATAAATTATGCCTAGTACAAATGACAGTTATGTCAAATACATGTCTAATTTTACAAAACCACTAGTAGGGCTTCAAAAAAAGACTTCATTTCCCATCAACGCCTTCCCTCTCGCTAAATCTTGATGATGTTTTGATCAGAGTGTTTCTCCGCGGCAGACGCTAAACATATTGGAATTTTTTCCCCCATTAGTCGTTCACTCCACCACCATCTGCCGTTGACATAAACTCAGAGAAACTTGAGCTCCATTTGCGCTGGAAGAATATTTCCCACAAAATGTGACCCAGTGGCTCACAATGTAAAAATGCAGTGTAGAGGCCAGAGAAAGGCTGCCAATCCTCTCAGCCATGGTCTTGTTTGTTTACAGTAATTATAATCATGTCTCAAAATGGATGCAGTAATTACTGATGACTTACTGATGTTAAAATGCTACATGCAGCACCTTCATGCCAGTCAAATACTGAAGCCGAAAAGCAAATGTCTTCATCCAATACAGTCTAATGTTTCACTTGGCTCCGTTTTTGTGCAAACAATCTCCTCGCAGCATCCTAATTGTGCCCGGAGAAACCAGCAGCTCGGTGGGAAGGGCAAGAAAATAAACCTCAGCATGTATCTCTGACCTCTAAGGACAGCTCTGCCATGTTATGCCATGCCGTGCCATGCCAGGCAAGCAGACTGCCACCCTTACCCTCAGTGGCCCTTGGCTTATGCCAGCCTCGTCTTTTTTTTCCTCCACCTCGCTTCTACATCCATCCCTTCCTCTCGCTCCTCCCTCCATCTGATGAGACTCCTCCAGAGCAGGGCTGGAGTCCCTCTGCTCACAGTCACTTAATTAAATGCTCCCACAGCACCGTCTACAACGTGACCGACGGCTGTTAAATTAAGATCCTGTCACAACCGGGGCACCGAGCGCTGGCAGGGTGAAGGAAAGATAAACCAGCCGAGGGAAGAGAGGGGGTAGAAGAGACACACAGAGGTGGGAGGCTGCTCTTACAAATGCAGGCCACTGGCTCATGTCTTCTTCATCTGTGCAGTTTCTTACACCACTGCTTTTCCTAAACAACAGTCCAACACCCGACGGAATGCAACTTACAATAAAAAGCAGCAAATCCCGACGGCTGAGTTTGTGTGAATGTTCGAGTGAATGTTTTGTATATTGGCTTGAAAAATGACAGATTATAAACATTTAATTTTCCATTTATCAACTGATCAATAAATCAACCTTTTGTTTCAGCACTGTGTCAGAGTGCTGCAGTTTTGAATCCTGCACTGTCTGCTTGTTTATGGAGTACAGAACAGAGATTTACAGTCTTTCTAATGATGCACTCACTTGTTACTTTGCATCGTGTGTATGTAAATATGTTCCTGATAAACCTCGTTTTACATTTCAGCCACCTAATTTACACTATTTCATTAAAACGGCAAATGCTATGATGTCACAAGAGAAATTATTAAACAGCAAATATGCTTTTGCAGTAGTCTAGAGGTCCATCAGATAATACCAATAACCTTCACACACACCAGCGCGCTCAGCCCACACGTCCCCCTGGTGAGGAACAGATGAGAGCGAGAGGAACAAATGGAAATCCAACTGGAAATCCACACGGACTCACAAGAACTCAAAGCGTGCTCTCGGTTTTTGGCTTTCCTACTCTTGTGTGTCCTTTTCTGTAGGAGGACTCGGAGGGTTTTTTGTATGTTGATGCATCATCCACCGTGCACCTTGTTTGGACATTTTATGGACAGCTGCTTTTGCAAAACAATACCCTGAGTGTGGAGGTGGGGGCAGCAAATAAGAAAAGGAGATTTTGCAAGGAAAAAAAAAACACACATGCACACACACCACCACCTCTTCACATAGAGCCTGAGTGAGCACCAGAATAAGGCCAACCTCCCTCTCTCTCTGCCACCTTCCTCTACCTGATGTCCCCAGTCGATCCCCGGCAAAACTTGGTGGCAGATGTTGCTGTACTAAATTGGCTCTGAAGTGCCTCCCCGGCTCCCCGGTCTCACCGACAACACAGTCAAACCACATTAGATCTCTTTATTTGTGCCTGGGGCAAGTTCGGCACTGCAGCTGTGTCCACCCCCGCTCTACCTTTGGTGTTGAAGGCCCTCGGGCGCTAAATGTGAGACCACAAAAAAGAAAAAAAAAACGTTTCACTCTCATTTTCTGTCTCTCTTCTGCATCTGCTGACAACCCAGCAGCCTGGCTCCGGGCGGCACCGCTGAGGGAGAGAGGAGCGGGCGGGTCAGGAAAGGAGGCAGCTGAGGGAGGAAACTGGGTGAGGATGGAAACTCAGCAAGAAGAAAGGGAGGGGAAGGGATGAAGGGGTGGCATGGACACCCGAGTCCCCTTGCGGAACAGATGTCTGGGACGACCTGCTTCCTTACACCTATACGAGTCCTTGTAACCTCATGGATGCAGCCTGCTGAAAAATTCATGACCCCGGAGGTTTCCTGTCTGCCATCAAAGACCAGTGCCCTCCCTCCCCTGGCTGCTCCTATCCTGTCTCTTCTCCAAGCCACTGGTGCCGGCACAGCCATCCACACCTAACCTGCCACTGGACAGTTCCTCACACTTTGATCAAGTTTACCGGTAAAGCCCTAAATCACATGCACGTTGCGGTGTGGGGGGAGGGGGCAACAGCATGTGACAAAGGTGAATGAAGGCGAGTCCTTACCAATGCCATGATCCAAAGCTCCACATGTGACTGTTAGACTTCAGGAAAACGTGAACGTCTGTCCTGTAGAGCTTATGAAGTGGTTGTAGTTAACCTGGATACTGCTTACAGAGTTATCATGTACTTTAATCACTGCTGACAAAACCACTTTACTTTATAATATATATTTGAAATTATTTCAATCAAAGAGTCAAATTAACGCTACAGTGCAGTTAACGAATGTGAAAGAATCAAAGTTGACTACCCACTATCGCTCATTTAAGACGTCACTTCAAACGCACGCAGCATTCGTGGCCTCCTGTCTGATTCTCTCCTGTGTCCGCTGTGTACAGTCTTGATCAAAGACTTAAAAGTGGGGTTTGGCACAGTGTCAGGCACGTGAATGAAGGGAGCCAGTGGTGTCGGGGACTCCGCTGGCAGCCTTTCTTCCACCACTGGTTTACCCACCAGTGGGCTTCACTCTGCTCTGACTGAGGTTACATCTATCATCTTCTACACAGTGGGAGCTGCAGCCATGTTTCTACATTCTGCCCTTTTCTGCTTAAAGCTCAGACAATTGGGTGAATACTGAGCAGGGAAACAGGGCCCTGCTGGTGAGCATACTGCAGGAAAATATGCAAGCTTGGCCATCTAATGAAAACCTTGGCCTCACTGTGAAGCCTCATAACACAAACAGCACAAGCCCATTTTAAGAAAACCTTAATTTATCAAAGCAAAGGAACCTACTCACATCATGGTTTGTGCCTTTACAGAGAGCAGTTTCTTGCCTAATATGTTCAGCAGCACAGACAAATTAGTGCATGTGAAACAGGAAGTAGTAACTGAGCTGCACTGGTGCAGAAACACCACCACACCAAGCAATAAATTGTTGATCTGCAGGTAGACGTATACAGTAGGTGACTTCTAGGCAGGTTTAAACCTGCAGTAACCTGGTTAAAAAGCTGCAGGTGTCTTAAAGGTCTAGGTTACATGTAACTGCCTTTGACTGCACTTTAGTTACTACAGTTTGAAGGATAAGACTGGTCATTTTCTCCGTTAACAGTATTTCAACAATCCGTACACAGAGACTAAAAGCAACACTGAACTGCCTCGACTCACAGTTAATGTCTGTCAGTCTCCAGCCTGGATTATCTTCTTCATCTGTGCCATACGTCTACATTTTTGTTTTAAAAAATGATTTAAAACACACCAGTTAAACACACCACAGCACTGGGTGACATGTTTCCTTCTTATAAAAGATATGACCTGGATATCTGATAAAAGGCTCCAAATAGCCATAATTTCTTTACAAGGTCTCAAGTAAGCAAGAGTCAACTGCGCATGTGTGAGACCTCCGTGCGAGCTCTCTGCTTTGCTTCCTGTCTGCTGTATCAGGGCTTAACTGTATGATGCACAGTCATTGATCAGGCAGTGACTGTGCATGTAACCAGAATGTCTCCTTAACAGCACTGTGACGCCCTGCGTAGTGACCGACAGGCTCACAGCAGGTCCACCGGCTCGGATTTTTGCCATGTTCTTCAGGATGACAACTGCTGCAGTCTGATGTCATTCTCATTGTTCTAAATTTATACAGCAGATGTGTGTACAGATGTGGCGCTACTGTAAGTATTTTACTTAATTCACAAAGGGAAAACGTTTGGAGGAGTCAGTTGTTGTGCTCCTTGCTGTGTGTGTCATTAGCATGTCCCTTCGGGCTGTAGGTTTGTCCGATTCAAAACCCAACACAACACTATCACTGTATCCCACATGCACCCTACAGTAGCATGACTACGCTTTGTATTTTAGGCCTTTCTGCAAATTATCAGTCCACCGGGAATAAAAGTGTCAAATACTGGAAACCCTGCATTTGTTTCTGGGTTGACAAAAAGTCAGAGATTAATATTAAGGTCCTTTAAACAGATTTACCTCGTCTCCAGAAGTCGGACGCATTAGGGAGACTCGATCATACTGTCGACGCAACAAAGCCCACAGAGCATCGAGACGACCCTGAAATGTAGAAAAATTGGATATACGTAGGTGTTAGATTGTTAGTCATCAGTTCAAATTATTTGCAGAAACAGTAGGGGGATATAGGTGTTAGATTGTTAGTTATAAGTTCAAATTATTTGCAGAAACAGTAGGAAAAAATTACCTGCAAGGAAAAATAATCTGGATATGAAACTGAGCAGAGAAGTTTATTTTTGACCTTTGCTACAAACACAACTCTTACTCGTTTTTCCAGGCTTTGGAACATCTATTGGTTCTTATTCAGCTGGTCTTTGACCTTAGTGGGGAATTTCAGTACCACTTGTTATCCTTCAAGGTACTCTACACTTAGGTGACGTGATGACACCTGAGCCAACTTTTGAGCTTCAATTATTTTGGCACATGTCTATAACATCATATGTTACGAAGTGCATGAAATAGAATTAAGCTGCAAAAAAGTCTATTTATTCATTCAGGGTGCGTGCAGCCAAGAGTGGGAGCGCTCACCTTGATGGGAGTGTACCATTTGTTCTCTGTCCGATGGTGGGTGGGGGCAGGCTTCTGGGGGGGGCGTTTGTTCATTGGCTCGTCTACATCCTCTGGCATGGACACTACGGCATTCTTTGCTTTCTCCAGTCTGGCCCCCTCCTCGGTGGAGCCCTTTTCACCCCAGCGCACCTGAACAGGTTAAACCAGCCAAGAACAGGTCAGTTTAATGATAAATACACAAATAACCCTAGCGGCAAAGTGATTGTCCGAGCTCCAGATGAATCAATCTCAGAGTTGGGCATTATTTTGTTTTTAGTGCCAATCCCATGTTTAATACCAAATGCAAGTATCTGAAACCCTGCTTTTCAAGTTAACAAAAGGAGATGAATGTCAAATATTACACACATAAATCCAGAAATAAAAAAAACTCTGCATAAATAAAATAGTCACATATATGAGCAGACATTCAGCTCCAGCTTCAGACATTCTTTGACACTCAGTGCTGCAGAAATACTTTGGTTGGTACCAAAGAAGTACTGAGGTTTGACATCCATCATTTGTCAGCACTTAGGCCATTTATTAAACTAAAATGCCACACACCACCCGGGTCCAGCTTCTCAAACATAGAGACTCTGTATCTCCTGTTTTATAAAATAGAATTCATATCTGTTGGGTAGAGCTCACTATTTGTGGGTGTCTACTTAGACATAGTGAAAAAATGCCCAACACATTCTCCCTATTTCTGACACTTAATAAAAATATTCCTACACTTCCCATGATGCAACTTGCATCTTTTGTTGACCCCTACCGGCCTAGTGAACACCCACATCTTTAAAACACCAGGCCTTTAGTTTTTATGGAGGCTTGACAAACCTGCTCTTACAAGCTGAGTAATATTTGCTCTTAAACTGATCTTGATGGTGGAGTTCTCCTTTAATCAATAATGAAAATAACTGTTCATCATAGTCGCGGATTAAAGACTAGTCCTAACATCCACAATTTACAAAAGATCATCCACACCAGTAGCCAAGCAGAGGAGGCCGAAGACACTTTTGGCCACATGACGATACCAACAAGGCAGTTGTACAATGGCTATCACTGTATATCCATAAAGAAATGAAATGACCTGAAAACCTGTTTTTTATTTTATTAATAAGCACATTTACATGTGGTATAATGTGTTATTGTGTGTGTGTGTGAGCCTGTGAATGCAGGCCTGTGTGTTAGTTAAGCTGTCTTGCTTTCTAATTGAATTCATCACATCTGCTGCAAGGCATAGATAAAAAAAAAAAAAAATCCACCACCACATGAACGGAGAGAGGTGATTAATTAGCGACACAGTTTTCAAGCTGTAGGTTAAACCGTGACAATATAGAACAGCTTTTCAGAATCATCTCTGGGATATATCTCTGGCCTGCTGCAGCATCAACAAAGAAGAGGTCTGCGATGAATAAAAGATATGTTGTCACCTCAGCCACATCAATACACGTTTGAAATATTGGCAGTGGCAAAGCGGTGGAGGCGGTTCTTCTTAGCGTGACGTCTTGGAGGAGAAGAAAGGTTAACAACCACCTGGCTCCCCACGCGCGGTAGGGGGGCTAGAAGCGGAGACGGGCATGTCGGTCAGAATCAACCTGCTACTGGAATAAGGGAGAGATGGGATAGCTGGGCTTGTATCTCGACAACACTACTGGGGAAACGTCAAGAGGTAGGCGCTCCTAGAGCATACTGGGAAATCCCTGCTATGCCATCCCTTTCTTCATGCTAGGCGGTAAAACCTGGGGGGAGGGTGGATAACGAAGGGGCTGCCAAGGGTTGGGAGTTGAGAAGGCAGGGGGTGGAGAGGTGGGTGAGGTGGATATGTCAAGGTGACAGCAGCAACTCAGCCCTTCATCCTGGCAAGGAATCGACCCAGTCAGGCCCACATGGCCGAGGATGACGGCAGCGCCTGTCAAGTCAGAGGCGTCAGAGCACTGACAAGGTCCGATCAGCCAGCCAGCCAGCCAGCCAGTCAGCCTGCCGGCCAGACAGCATGCCCCTCCTCCTGCTGCCTGTGTAACTTGACAAACTTCTAGCCAAAGAGAAAAGAATGGACGTCAGCTGGTTTCTCTGAATACGATGCAAGTAACAGCTGTGGGAAGTGTGTCAGATCCAGTTCCTTTGTGCTGGCTGGATTTCCTTGTCCCTGGACAGAATGTTTGACCAAGTTTGCTCCTCTAACCGTTTCATGTCAGCGATATCAAGAACATGTGTCAAACATAATATAGAAGACCTCTCTTTGTGACTGTGATGAAAGTGTTCATCCTACTAAAAGCAACATGGATGATGTTTGACCTCTGACCTCCATGCGTTTGATCCCTCCAGCTCCTCTTCCTCCGTAGTAAGAAGCGTCCACGGTCGGCCACTTCTTCTTGGGGAGTGGTTCTGGCTCCTTTAAAAACAGGGAGGGAAATTAGGAGACTCGTGTACAGTATCCATTTGTGTACTGCATCCTGCTCACTACAGTACTGTACTATTTTCTGTCAATTCCATTTATCAACATCTGACTGAGCTTCGTATCCACAGGAAGGATTGTTTACGTCATTTTGTCAGGAAGGAAAAGGCACTTCTGTCCTCACTTCTGTTACAGCTATCAATTTGGTTTAAGCTTTCCTACTGTCTCTTCTGTGTGGGAGGAGGCCACCAGTTCCCTTAATTAAAAAATTAGCTGATTTTCACACATTATTTCCTTTATTATTTTTTAATGTTCTCTCTATGAACCTAGTCTGGAAGAACATAAACTCTATGACCGAGATAAGAATCACTGGCATTAATATAACTACTGTATACTGGTGCTGAAACAACACTATACTCACAGGTGGTGGAGGACGGGAGGGTGGAGGAGGTGGCGGCGGGTCTTTGATGACCTGGATAAACAGGAAAAGTAAAAGCCCATCAGGAGGCACATACGTGCACACATAAACACACACTCAAACCTTGTTGAGACAAGCACAGAGCAGCCTGACGGAGGTGCTTCGTGACAGGTGACTGAGTCAAGCAGAGGCATCCCTGAGCTTGTTGCACGGTGGAGATGCTGCTGCTGCCAGGCTGCTTTGTAAGTGCAAATGGCGCCCCATCGCTCCACTGACTACTGATTACAAGGATTCTGCTTGTAAACCAACATCAGGGGCCCCCCGTGCAAAATAAAGAAAAGCTGAAAATCAACTTGTTGACAGGGGAGTCTTTGGGGCGAGAGCCGCTGCCCGTTTAGCTCTTAATTAATTGGATGGGGTTCAGTGCTCCCAAGCAATCCCCCCCAATCATAAAGTCCTAAGGAGTTAATTAGCTCCAGTGAGATACAGAGGAGGCGGCTCGGGCTCCGCTCCAAGCCCTGTCTGGGTGGAAGATGAGTGGCAGCATACACACACAAAACACACACGCATAATGACGACACACCTCTCCCACAGTAGAGTGACCAGCCCAGTGGCAACGTTCACGATAACAGCGGATGACATGGCATCTGAGGAGCAGGTTGTCCACAATGCGATTCCACTCAAGGACAAGATGCCTTGACTGGGTTTTTCAGACGTGCATCGCAAAGCAAAAAGCAGCCTGATGGCGACATTTGTCAGGCGTCAGTCAGACGCTTCAATACTGATGGCCAACTTTTCGCTGCAGGGTTGCTGAAGACACTGCCACTCACTTCATCTGTGAAAAGGATCACACTGGAAAGTCTCTCTCACCCTCTGAGAGCAAGGCTGCGACTCCCAAAACACCCAATTTGTGTCTTATAGAAACTGTTTAATAAGCAGCCACGCATGTAGTTTGCATTCGATACATGGCGTCTTCACATATACAGTGCTTTTTAAAGACTTACACCAACATCTTCCTAGATGTTCAATGAAAATTCAAGTAGATGTAAAATAACAGACTATTATAGACTACCTCTGGTACACATCACTTCCTTTAAAATATATGATTACATTTCAAGAAAATGCAACTGAAAGGTTGAATGAATAAAAGTTTTGCATAAACCTCAGTACCTCTGCATAAACCTTTGTGACCTCAGTATTTCTAGCCACGTGTCACCACTTGCGTTTCGTTTGTACAGCGTATGGCTGTGTTCCATTTAGCTGCTTCAGGTTGGGTTCCTGCCGCTGTGCATACTGACTCACTGCCAAACCGTGGTGGTTTACTGGCGCACGTGAATAGAACCACACCATTGTTAGCGTTATTAGTAAAACCTGTGCTTCTCCTACTATGACAGGTTAAACAAAACTGCCCTATTGCGCCAGCAAGCTTCAATAAGGTTTAGTTCTTCAGCTTGTAAGATTTATATAGAAACATGGACACAGACAAAATGTTAGTTTACTTATTCAAAATTACCTTTAGCTTGCTATTTGCACAAGTAGTGTCTGCCCTCTGTCACTAAAAGGCCCCATCCAGCTGCACAGCTGCTAATTCATTTACTGCTCGAGTTTTAACAAAATTATTTTCATTATTATTTGAAATTATTTTATGCCTTTATTGAAG